ACCAATGTCCGATCTTGAGTTGTGTGGTAAACTAAATGAGCACTTTTTATCAGCCAGCGCTGACCTTCCTCCTCTCGACCTTGGTACTTTGCCTGCGTACCTTCCAGCTCCCGAACCCGCACCATCTATCTCAATCGCACAGGTCTGTTTTAAACTGCTCAAAATAAAGGCATTTAAATCCAACGGCCCTGATTGTATTCCTAATCGAGTGCTTAGTCAATATGCTCAAGAGTTAGCTGATCCGGTGGCCAAAATCTTCAACAAGTCTTTATTGCACTCTGAATTCCCTATACCTTGGAAAGATGCTAACATCGTCCCAATCCCGAAAGCCCAACCGATAACGTGTGAGGATGAAACCCGTCCAATTGCCCTCACTGCCACTCTGTCAAAAGTTTTGGAAGACTTCGTTGTTACCTGGATGATTGATGATGTCAAAGACAAAATCGATCCGAAGCAATTTGGTAGCTTAAGGGGATCTTCTACAACATTCTCCCTTATTGATATGATTAACAACTGGTTGCAGGCACTGGATAGCCCAAAACGGTATCTACGTATTTGTTTTTTGGATTTCTCCAAAGCTTTTGACAGAATCAACCATAACATTTTGATTGCGAAACTCATAGTCCTTGGAGTAAGAAGATGTTTGATCCCATGGATATGTGATTTTCTTTCAAATCGTCGTCAGGCAGTGAAAATTAATGAGTTTCGCTCGGAGTGGGCTTATGTAAATGGCGGTGTCCCTCAAGGAAAAAAACTTGGCCCTATCTTGTTCTTAGTTATGATTAATGATCTGAAAATGAAGTCCCTAAACTCCTTTCATTGGAAATACGTTGACGATGTAACGATTTCTGAGGTTATAAAAGAAACTGAGGAATCGCGATTACAAACTGAACTCAATGAACTCCAACAATGGGCATGTGAGAATGATATGAAACTGAATGGGTTGAAATGCAAGGAAATGGTTGTCAGCTTTTTACGACAAAGTGATAACTATACTCCATTACACATTAATGATCAACAATTGGAACTGGTTACATCTTTCAAGATTTTGGGTTTGACTATTAATAATCACCTTAAATGGAATGATAACGTTGCAATTATCGTAAAAAAAGCGTCGAAACGCCTTTACATCCTTCGGGTGTTGCGTCGATCTGGAATTCCACCCGCTGACTTGCTCTCAATCTATAACGCCTTAATCAGATCTGTTTTGGAATATGCTTGTGCAGTCTGGCATACCAGCCTACCTCAGTATCTTTCCAACAAAATTGAACGGGTGCAGAAACGTGCTCTGCGAATTCTGTACCCTTTCACTGATTATGCGGAAGCCCTATCTATCAGTCGTTGTTCTCGCCTTGATGATAGAAGGCAGTCAATATGTCAGAATACCTTACAAAAGATTGCTAATCCTTGCTCGAAACTGTACCACTTGTTGCCGTCAACTCGTGGAAACGTCCATGGACGGAGTTTGAGAAATAATAATCAATTATCGCTTCCCAAATGTAGAACTGAGAGGTTTAAGAACAGTTTTATCCCGGCAATGTGCTATAGTCAAGTTGACGTATAGGCCTTTATGGTCTTAATTTGTATATTAGGTTTTAACATTTATATTAGATATAGTAATTAATATTCTAGCATTTTTGTAAATTTTAGTATATTTCCATGTAAGCATATTGTAATTCATTTTCAATGCGATAATATGCAAATAAACCATTAATAAATATTAATAATCACCAAAAGACATGCCATAGCCAACAACAAATACATGGCCAACTACGACCCCAAGAAGGAAAGCAAGTACTTACCCTATCTGGATGAAAACAACCTCTACGGATGGGCAATGAACCAGCCCCTACCCGTCAAGGACTTCGGATGGATGAACGACAACGAGTTGGAGAAATGGACGGAACACAGCTGCATCCTCGAGGTGGATCTCGAATACCCCGACGATCTCCACGACCTACACAACGAATACCCCTTAGCACCCGAAAGGATAACGGTTAACAAGACGGAAAAGCTCATCCCTAACCTCAACAATAAGGAAAAATACGTCCTCCACCATACAAACCTAAAGCAATACCTGAACCTGGGGTTGAAGTTAATCAAGATACACCGCGGAGTTAAATTCCTCGAAAGGGACTGGATGAAAAAATACATCCAGCTCAACACAGACCTTCGTACCAAAGGAACAACAGACTTCGAAAAGGATTTCTTTAAACTCATGAACAACTCCGTATTCGGAAAGACCATGGAAAACGTAAGGAATAGGGTCGACATCAGAATCGCCAACGACGAAAAGAAATGGAACAAGTTGGCCAAGAAACACAACTACAAATCGGCAACCATCTTCTCCGAAAACCTAGTGGCAGTTCATATGAGGAGAACCTCCATAAAGCTAAAAAAAACCATCTACCTCGGAATGAGTATCCTGGACATCAGCAAAACCCTCATGTACGACTTTCATTATCACTACATCAAACCGATGTATAAAAACGATGCCGGACTCCTATTCACAGACACGGACTCCCTGTGCTACGAAATCACCACCGAGGACTTCCTCAAGGACATTTCCAAAGATGTTTACGAAAAATTCGATACCAGCAACATCGGTAAAAACCACCCCTCCGGAATTCCAACCGGAGTAAACAAAAAGGTTATCGGAATGATGAAATCGGAAACAGGAGAAAAACAAATAGAAGAATTCGTAGGACTCAGAGCAAAACTGTACGCCTACAAAATGGCGGAAGACGGAAAGGAGGAAAAGAAATGTAAAGGCGTCAAGAAGACAACCATTAAAAAGGAAATAACGTTCGAAAACTATAAGCAATGCCTCTTCAGCGGTGAGAAACAGTGGAGGGGAATGAACGTCTTCAGAAGCAGGCTGCACAAAATATATACCGAAAGGATCGTCAAGGTAGCCCTATCGGCAAGCGACGATAAACGCATCATTTGCGAAGACGGAATACGCACCACGGCAATAGGACACAAGGACCTAAGGCAGTAGAAATCCCAGAAGACCAGTTTTAATATTCGCAGGAACATTAAAATCTAAACGGGTCCTCTACCTACCCGTAGACGGACGCAAAAGCCTCTTCCAGGGCTCCTGTTTCCCCTCCCTCAGATACACCCCCTCCTGAAGTAGTACCTGGACGGATACCATATCCCCAGACACATATATGCTTGGGAACCTAATCAAAGCATCCAGGTAAAAATGCTTGTCGATGGGCTTCATGGGGTTCATATCCCCTCCCCCGTCCTCATACCACTCCGTGGTCTTATCAATTTTTGCGTACAGAACGGGCTGCTTCCCACTCCGATAAAAGCATCTTATGACTTTTGTTCCGGACTTTCCAACCTCTTCGGCACATCTCTTCTCCAATACCTCCAAGGCAGTTATGAAGTCCTTATGGTTTCCAACAGCCAATGGGATGGTAAAGTTCTCCTTCCCAAACTTCTTGTCCTTGTTAATTCCATAAGCCAGGCAGTCCTTCAGATGGAGAAGTAAGGGTCCACCATCCTCCGCCACAAGTCCAATGCTTTCAGACCCAAATCTGTTTCCGACAGGTTCCTCAAAGTCAAACGAGTCTCCGGAAAAGTCCTGTACTTTGGTAATTGACATGCTTCCTTTTATTATACACAAACCTTTCTCTTTAAACCACTTCCCCCACCAGAAACCCCGACAAGCATGCGGGACGCGGCGGGTGCGGTGGTCCTGCGGAGGACTAAATTTATCGGGTCAACACCCACGGGAATTTCTGACAAATTGTCAGAGCATGTGCGCGTACACTTGCGTGCTTGCGTGGTCGCGACCACGAATGCGCGAGGACGGGGGGTATGTCGGTGTGTCTGTGTGTCGGCAGTGTGATGTCCGTGTGTCGGCAGTGTGTCGGCATGAGGGTACGGGGGCATGGGGGATGTTGATGTGTCTGTGTGTCGGCATGGGGCAGGCAGTGTGTTGGCAGTGTGTTGTGCGTGTGTCGACAGTGTGATGTCCGTGTGTCGGAAGTGTGTTGGTGGTGTGTTGGCGCGAGGGTACGGAAGCCTGAGGGGTATGAGGGTAGGCAGAGGAATTGGGCAACCGGAAGTGACGTCATCGATTTTATTCCGGGAATTCCGACTTCCGGGAATGGGATTACGGGCATGTCCATGCTTGCCCGGATCCACTATAATTTGCCTTACATGAAGTATTAACCAAAATGACCTAGGACCGGTTATATTACACTACTCATGTCCAATTTTAAAAGCTTATCGACAGCCTTTGTGATGAATCACTGATCTAATTATAGAATCCAACAGCCAATCAGAATGCCGCGTTCGCGGGCGAACGCGGAAAGTGCAAAATACAGGGTCTTCCTTGCAGGCCCACTATTCTCCCTCGGTGGGCCTGCACGCGGGCTATATTATAAACTATTGTTATATTTGTAATTGATACCGATCTAGCGAGTGATGGCATACACTAACGAAAATGTAGCGAATGTATTAATTGAGAATTAAGCATTCAATTCTTTATCTGGAATCGGTAATCCAATCGTCTTAAAGAATGAAAAAAGACTGATATCAATCCAACATTTGTTGCTTCATAGTTGATAGAGATGTGATAGAAATGCAAATGGAAACACCGCGATAAAAGATGCAGATTTGAAGATACAAGCTCGCAAATGACTCTCTGAATAGTGTTTTTGATAGCGATTGGAACTAGGCTATTACGAAAAAGATACGTCCGAAGGGGCCGAAGTTATGTTCGGAAAAGATATGGCTAGTCCATATTTTCTTCAGACAATTGCGTAATTTGATAACATACGAACTCGCTTGACTTTCAAAGCTCATAAATCGCTATAATGTTGACAACGACTAAAACTATCGCTATGAATGAGGACATATTGTTACACTGAATCGAACATGGTATATTTGTCTTCATAGCATTCAATGAAACGAAGATATGAAACGTCAAAACCGTATATTTTCACTGGTGCAATACGAGAAAGTGTTTGACAAATACATTAAAATGAGGGAACCATGCGTTCGGTGGGTGGAACTCAGAATGTGTAGTTTTTGGGCTCGTGCCTGCGAATACCGATGGCTACGCTGGCTACTCTAAACATTTTGTTTGTTCATCTTTAAATGTGAAATCGGGGCCTTTAAGCTCTTTTGAACGCAAAACTCAATACATACCAATACATCCGCCGTGATTGTTCACAATCAAGCTTGTCAGCTATCAATCAGTGATTAATTTAGCAAAAATTAGCATGTTTCTCATTTTGAACCAATCAGATTTTTCGCTCTCGCGGAGAACGAGTAAAAATCGCAAAGCACAGGGTTTTGTGTAGGCTCTCCTCTCACCTGAGAGCGGGATTTCCTGTGGAAAGGCGAGATTTATAGGTTAAATTAAAGCTAAACAGGAAATCCAGAAGGCCACCCAACTATTTGTGACCTTGCAAGCTTATCCCGCCCACGGGATGTACTTCAACAGTACTTGCATAACGAAACTAATATGCATATAGTTATTATTACGAAATATTGCAATTGAACTGCTTTAATAGCGCGTTGTTGTATTGGTTATTACTTCCATCTTGTACACATATTAGTTATGGCTTTGTTGTCTGATGTATCCATGATAAGTGTGCGCTGGTTCAAAGTACTTCTGACTGCAGCATGTATATTTCTTGTATACAAGATTGTGAAATATTTCACTGGCGAGGTGAGGGAACTACCACCAAATACTAGTAACCGACGACAACTTGGTCATACTGAAGAAGTGCTAGATATTTTTTCAATGGAAAAATCTGGCTTAGGGAATATATGCTTGGGAATATCAATAACATCAAAACAGAGTCTGTTACACGAACATGTTCGCGACGCTCTGGTGCTGTTGGCCAAACGACAGCCGATGCTTCGAGCAGTCATAGCGACCATGGCGGACGGGGATAAATATTTCGAGATCAAGGAAATCAATGAAGTGATTGCAATGTTCGATATCACTATTTCCCATGTGAAGGCTTCAGACTGGAAAGATGTCTGGTTCGAATATACAGCAAAACAACGAGCAAATGGTCTGTTATGGCGAGTTATGATATTACAAGAGGAATTCATGCCAGACACTGAAGATTATGTTAATACATTAATGTTTAACTTCAATCATGCATGTACTGACGGTGTTTCTTCTGTGAAGTTTTGCAAGCAATTTCTTAATAATATGAATGAACTTGCAAACGGTACTGGCTGTGTAGATCAGGAAATCTCCAGTCTAGATCTGCTGCCACCTTTCCACCAGATTGTCATACGGGGACGAATTTGGCATTCATTATATAATTTTATGCTGGCTCATTGCGGCCTACGACCGATTTTGAAATTTTGCATGGAAAGACTGTTAGATCGCTTCACAGAAAAGAAGCCGAATAATCCGTATCACGAGCAGTTTCCACCAAAACCACATGTCCCTAACTCACCCATACCGAGTCGACTGAACGTAAAGTTCTTCACTGAGGGCGAAACGAAGAATATTATTCAAGCTTGTAAAGCAAATAATTGCACAGTAACTGGAGCTATTACAACTGCAGCACATTTAGCCTTTTGTGAGCTTATACAAGACGATAAATCGAAAAATATGAAGTTAGAGTCTATCTTTGCTATCAATGGTCAACGCTTCTGTGATCCAAAACCGCATGAAGATTACCTGGGGCCTTTTGTGTATTTCAATCAGGACATTTACATGAAGTATGCACGAGGGGCTGGTGTTGTCTTTTGGAAGTTAGCTCAAGAAACTACGCTGCGAATAAAGGAATTTGTGAGGAAAGAAGAATGTGTTGTTGCAGCCACGGTAATTAGTGGAATTATGGAGCCAAGAGAACATGTGAAATTATTCATTAATGATAAGTTATTTCCGAAATCCGGATGCAATTTCATATCAAGTTTCGGATCTTTTCACTTAGGCGAACAGCAACATGACACGTATAAACTACATGAATGTATTATAAACAATCTTATTCATAATATGAACTGCACTTTTTTTCATTTTAACTACACCATTAATGGTAAAATGACGTGGCAAATAGTCAGTAATGTTACGGTAGATGGTGACCACGTTGAGAAATTTGCTAACCTTTGCTTCAATAGATTTAGTGAAATGGCACTTGGTGTAGTGTAAGAGGCAAGGGAAATTGTTCGCCATTCCGAATCAGCATTTAGAAAAATGTCAAAACATTTACATGATTAAATTGCCTGAGTGGGTTTCTGAGTAATTGTGACGACGATTCTATGGTTATTTAAAAAAATGGAAAACATTTCCCTGATTAAGGGGAAATGAGAAACTTGTCAGTGGGAATACCTCATGCCCGAAGCGCGAGTGCAGAAACATTTTCCGTGTCCATAAAGGCATTATTCGTATATCCCTCCCCTATAATAGATCGCCCCATGTAAGGTAATCCAGGAATCCAGATTCCGACTTTTAATAGCTTTGCAATCCGGAATCCAGACAGTGGAATCCAGAATCCAAATATGAGAGGAAATGCGCATTGTGATTGTGTAATGTTGCTATTCCAACACTTCACGACAAGCAATCCCCGTTGACATAACGGCAAAAACATCTCTTCCTTCAAGTAAACAATAAACAGTCTTGTTTGTGGAAATACATGCACGTAAATTTATTACTGCAATGCTTTCGATCCGTCAGTCCGGATCTTCATCAGTGCTAATAATACTGTATATATTAGCGCTGATGAAGATCGGGGCTTACGGATCGAAAGCTTTGCAGTAATACATTTACGTGGTGTTTCCACAAACAAAACTATTATATGTTTTATCGCCATGCAAGTTCGTACAAAGAACTTAATAAACAGTCTGTTCTTGTTCCATTTTTAATCGAAAAAGTGATCAGGTCCAATTTTAAAGCTTATCGACAGCCTTTGTGACCAATTACTGATCTAATTATAGAATCCAACACCCTACAGCCAATCAGAATGTCGGATTCGTGGGCGAACGCGGAAAGTGCAAACTTACTGGGTCTTCCTTGCAGGCCCACTATTTTCCCTCGGTGGGCCTGCACGCGGGCTATGTTATAAACTATTATTATTTTCGTAATTGATAACAATCTATCGAGTGATGGCATACACTAACGAAAAAGTAACGAATGTATTAATTGAGAATTAAGCGTTGAATTATTTATCTGGAATCGGTAATCCCATCGTCTTGAAGAATGAACAAAGAATATCAATCCAACATTTGTTGCTTGATAGAGATGTAATAGAAATGCAAATGGCAATACCGTAATTAAAGATGCAGATTTGAAGATATAGGCTCGGAAACAACTCTTTAAGTAGTTTTTTTATAGCGATAGGAACAAGGCAATTACAAAGAAGATACCTCCGAAGGAGCCAAAGTTATGTTAGGAGAAAGGTATGGCTAGTCCATATTTTTGTTCTGACAATGGACAACTTGTATGTTCGACTAAATTTTAATCTAAGTAAAGAGAAGGGAATCAAACACTATAGCTAAATAGAACATAATGAAATCAGTAAAACTGCAAAATTTGGTTGCGAAATGTTGTAAAATACAGAAAATATAGCCTAAAAAGGCTTACGAAGTTTGCATATTTTCAGTATATTTGAAAGAGTTTGACAAATACATTAAGATGTCTGATGGGCGCAATCATGCGTTCGGTTGGCGGAACTCAGAATGTGTAGTTTTTGGGCAGGCGGTATTTCAGATTTCCCGATCTTTCGTGCCCGTGAATACCGCCTGCAACGCAGGCTACTCTAAACACTTTGTTTGTCCATCCTTAAATATGAAATCGGGATCTTTAAGCTCTTTTCAATTCAAAACTCAAGAAACACCTCAGATATACGTATAATCCGCCGTGTTTGTTCACAATCAAGCTATGTCAGCTATCAATCAATGATTATTTAAGCATAAATTAGCATATTTTTCATTTTGAACCAACCAGATTCTAAGCTCTCTCCGAGAACGAGTAAAAACGGCAAAACACGTGGTTTCGTGCAGACTTTCCTTTCACCTGATAGCCGCTACGCCGGTTATATCTTACCCTGAGTGTAGGGATTTTTTGTGGAAAGGCGAGTTTTATAGATTAATTAAATTAAAGCTAACAGGAAATACAGTTGGATAACTACTTATCCCGCCCACGCGCTGGACTTGCATAATGAAACTAATATGCATGTGGTTATTATCAGTGGCGGCGCCAGGCTTCCAAATTTGGGGGGGGGGGGCATTTGAGGGGCAAACTCAAATTTTGGGGGGGCAAGATAGAATTTTTAAAAAGGTCGCCCCCCAGGAAATTCGCCCCCCCCCCTCAAAACGTGGCGATATTCCTAGGAATATCGCCCCCGGGGGCGAATATCCTAGGAATATCGCCTCCCAGGGGGGTGGGGCGAATACCCTAGGAATATCGCCCCTCTTTAGGACATTCGCCCCCCATATATGCGATGTGGTTTATTCAAATAATTTTGTGATACTTTCATCTTATTATTGCCTTACACGTTTGAGAATTTAACTCTGCAAAACTAAAGCTTTTTGTCTTTTTTTGAAACGTATTATTGGAGTATTGGCAAGTTTTACCATTCAGAGATTTACAAACTAATATTGAAACTGTAAAAAACAGTTTCATGTATACGCGCATTCACTAATGAGTAATGACAACTTATAAGCCATACATTTTCCGATAACGACAAAACGCTTGTGTAGCCTTTAGTCGCTCTTAGTGACTAATAATTTTTTTTGAGGGGGGCAAAATGGGGGGGGGGCAAAAAATAATTGGGGGGGGGGGCATTTGCCCCCCCTCCCCTTGCCACCCCCTGGCGCCGCCACTGGT